AAAGCTCAAGTCCGAGCGCGAGAATCTTAATCTTATAATTCAATTTTCATACACACTTAACACCTACTAAGAGAGTAAACGTAATCTCGTGCACTGGCAAAGGCGCTGATGGGATCGCATTGAGATTGATAAGAAACAAATTTACTCCAAAATTATTCTTATGATGGTAATGGTACTCCCTCTTCCTAGCTAACATTGTATAAAAAGAGATACTCTCGGTGGGGATCGAACCCACGACCTTGGGTTTATTAGACCCACGCTCTAACCAGCTGAGCTACGAAAGCAGGATCACGCTGTCAACAGTGAAAGAATATTCAATTCTTGAATGTGAAGAGACACGGATCATTTCGAAAGGGAAACAGAAATCATCCAAATCATCACCATTTCTTGTGTTTCCTCACACAGCTTTGATGATCTCGTCATGCCGGATGGCACTCTGTCAGATTGTGTTTCTTGCTCGCTAATAGAATTCCTAGGGCGAAGATGAATGATTGTTTCAGAATCTTGGTACCTATTATCACCTGTTGGTTACTCAATAATGCTGAGGCAGTGAATCCGTCACCAAATTTTTCGCCATCGGCTTATTCTCACAGGCATGAAGCAGGGGGCACAGGTAACAACCACCTCCAGGAAGAAATTGACCTCGGCACAACCCTTGTGGCAATCAAGTATGCTGGAGGAGTTGTTGTAGGCGCAGATACGAGAACATCAGCGGGGGGATACGTCTCGAACAAGTTTGCGTACAAAATCAACCCGATTTTTAGACCCGATTTCGAAGATCCGACCGAAGTGGACGAGAGCGACGAGCCGTCACGAATTTCCTCATCCTCGTCATCTTGTGTGTTGTGCCGGTCGGGAAGTGCAGCAGATACGCAATGGCTGGCAGGCTTGGCCAAGCAACGATTTCAGATGCGTAAATTGGAACGTCCTGGTTATCGTCCTTCGATATCCGAAGTAGCACACTTCCTTCGATATCAAATGAGACAAGGTGGTGGTGAGTCACAGTTTCAAGCCAGTTTGATTTGTGCTGGCTATGACTCGGTGACAAATGGTGGTCAAATATTTGGAGTCACCCCCGGTGGAAGCTTGTGGGAAGAAGATAACTTTTGTGTCAGTGGATCAGGTTCAACGATCTTGTTGGGGTATCTGGACGATGCTCTGCAAACTGCAAAGCAAAACTTTGCGTCCGAGTATACGGAAGAGTGTGCAATAGCACTCGTTACGAAACTTTTGCGGCTAAGCATAGCGCGAGACGGAAGCTCTGGTGGACTGGTGCGGCTCTATGTAATAAATCGAAACGGCCTCGAGGAACGGACCGTCTATCCTTTTATGGATACCAGTACGTCAACAGCGCCGTCAGTAGAAGGAGCTGGAGAAAAAACAACCCATACAGACTTAGAGGGATTCGCTAAACCCGTTTCTGGTTGTTGAAACAGCAGCTGAAACTAAAATTGTGTAATATTGTGCTAAAAAGTGGGCTTTCTACTTTTAAATCTATTCTATTTTATTCAAGTCCCATACAGTGGTGACCAAAGTACTGCGGTGTTGCTGCTCTATTCCTCGATTTCAATGAACAACTCCATCTACTTTTCATTGTCTATCTACTTTATTCCAGTGGTCGATGATAGCGGCAGCAATATGCCGCCCCCAAAGTTCGTATCCCTCATCGTTTGGATGTATCCCGTCAACCGAAACAAAATCTCTACCCTCGCCAATGTTACCTTTATTGTCAGGGCTAGCGTTGCTATTATTGCCTGCGAGTGATGATATCGAACAAGACTGATCATGATCCGACTTGGATTTACTCTCGCTTGACAAAGATTCTTCTTCTTTTGGACCGTAGTAATTTTTCATGACTTCTTCTATTCTTTCCCTAACAGAGCGAACACTGTCGGTGACTCGCAGTAGCAATTGCTCATTTTTGATATTTTTTCGAATGGATCCAATACCCATTTCCTCGTCGGTCCACCACTCCAAGTCAGGCTGATGCACAAAAACAACATTATCTGGAAAACAAGATGCCAAGAAGCGTTTGTTGTTCTCCATTGCACGAAATATCGGAATCAAAAACCAACACAGAGGAACTAATCGAAAAAACTGGAGAGGAGCCACCGGTAGTTCTGGAACCACCACCAATGGGTGTCTCATATTTTTTGGATTCTCACTTGACTGCTGGACGTTTGATGCTTTTTGAAGACCGTCGCTAGGAAGAAAGGTGTTTGTTGACTTCTCCTGGTCTTGACTATTTCTCTTTCTGTTAGTATGTTCAAGATCCAAATTTCCATGCATCTTCTCCTTTAGTGCTTCTAAAACCTGACGAAGGCTGTTATTGAGCTTCGTCGGTCCCTGACCACTGCTCTTATTCATGTGTGGCATGAATGCTTCTTTCACGTCATTTAAACCTGTCAGAACGACAGCAATGTCATATTCGGCAGCAGCCTTGGAAACAACGGATGTCCTCCGAAATAGAGTTCCTTTATGGATCAAGGGAATGCGTTCACTTTTTGAATGGTTATCATCTTTGTTTACCGATCCCACATCTCTTTCGTTTGCCAATATATCCTCTGGAGGAAGGTTCTCTCGAAAGTAATCGTAGTAATAGTCATCTTCGTCATCGTCAAGTTGGGGCAATGGCTTCAAAACAATATCTTTGATGGCAGATAAATCTTCCTCTACCAGTTGCTTTCGTTTTCGAAACATAAGTCGAACATTACTCCACCACTCGTTAAGGACTCCTTGTGGATTATTTGGAATCTCCGCAGAATCAAACTTCTCCTTTTCTCTCATTCGCTTCCACCACTTGAGGATAGGATTTTGTGGTTGTTGTTGTACGTCATTTACCTCAGAATCTGGAACCGCCGGATCTAAATACTCGATGTCGTTATTTGCATGACGTTCCAACCAACGCCGTCGTCTATTTTGAAATTCTTTGACTATTCGTTCCAATTGCCGGCCTTTTGGATGAGGATCATAGGGTTCGATTTCTTCTATATCCTTCACGAGTTGTGCTGCCGAAACACCCGGGGTTCCAACGCATGTCCAGTAGACAGCCCTCCCGCCCATTTCCTTCGACAAAGACCGTGCAATAGACTCGGGCAAAATTGGGACACCCGACTTGGACATTCCCACCCCGGCTGCCAAGGAATCTCCCACGACCAGCAATCGCAAGGGTCTTTCATTACCCGGTGTGTGATTCGAGGAAGATGAAAATGGATGTAATATCCACGATGAAATAGATTTGGTTCTATCCTCGTCAATGGCAACCGCTACGCCTCTTGCTGGCATCACAGGCCGAGGAGCATCGGAATGATTGACCCGATAATCATTTAGCAATAATGAGCCTTGGAGTATTGCAATCAGTGGAGTAGAAAAATAGACTCCCAACGCCCACTGAAGGAAGACCTGATTCCAACTGAATTCTGGGTTCTCGGGGCAAATCAAATCGTTGCGGCTCCCCTTGGAATCGTTGCGCGTGCTAGCTTTGCGCCTGTGGACGGATTGGTGAAGTCGATCCTCAACGCGGCTTTGATTTCGACGCCAAATTCCAGCGCCACAGAGCCTGACGGTGTATGCTGCTCTGGCACACAGTCTTGTTCCCGAAGCCATTGCTATCGACGGCAGTTTTGAGATGCTGCTCTTGAGCAACCCAAATCAAAGAATAATTGATGAATCTCTTTCCATTGTTGATGGATTCGAATGAATGACATTTTTGTTCCCCAAACAGAACGAGTTACTCGAGTCATATTACGAGAGCAAGTACGTAGCGGTACGTACAGGTACAAAAGATACATGTACAAAGGAATGTTGATTCATTCTTGAAAAAATTTGAAGCGGGATCCGTGCGATGGACAGGCGGTTATTCCTGAAGAGAACACTTCTTTAGTACCGTACCGGACGAAGTACGGTAGGATTACGAAGTACAGTACCTGGTACTTCTACTTAGTATTTCGATTTTTGAAAATTGTTGGGAGTCGTCCGTGAAATACTACCGCCTTCGTGAGTCACACAAGGAAATTTTGGCGCGCGGGCCCGAGCAAAGGAGCAAAGATCACTTACAACGGTTATTCCAGACACGAATCGAATAATTATGCTTCTTTGATCTCGACGTTGATATTTTACGTTCAGTACCTAAGTATTTATTTTTAATACATCTCTCAACATGTGAATCAGTATCCTTCCTAATATTCATGTCACGGACAAACTAATAAGATTCACAGCTTTGAAGATAGTTCCCCCACCGGAGTACCGAAACAAAACATTTTCCTCTACCGGTACGTTGGTCCAGAAGACAACAGGACGTACCGTACTCGTGCGATACCCGTACAGGTTGACCAGGCCTCTCGTTGAACTATACTTTCCCAAACGTACGAGGTGTGTTCGTCAAAACTAGATTCGCTACTCGGTGTTGTAGACTTATCCACCCTTTGCACATCTCGATTCAATTAAAGCGGCATCAGCGTTCTTAGTTACGCAGAAAGAAATCGAATCTACATTGACTGCATTGACGAGATGAAGATCCCATTGGTCCTATTTGTTGGTCCAGCATGGTTGTTCCTATTCCAAGCTATCATCGTCTCTGCTGAAAATGAGTGCAGGGACGATCAGAATTACCGTTATTACGGTGATGATTGGAAAGGTAAGTGTGTCAGTCGTTTCGTTGTATTTTTTCGATCGAATTTTTTCACGTTCATTATTTTCTGATCTTCCTCGTAACTCGCATGATTCCATTTGCCGATTTTACGATGCAGATTGCAAATGGATCTACGACAACGATCGATGCGATAGACATGACAACAAGGACGATCACCATGTAGGGAAATACTACTGCCCTAAGAGCTGCGGCTTCTGCAAAGAAAACGGTGCTTTCTTCTCCTACAATGGGGATGATAAGAACCGAAATGACGATGCCGTCTTTTTTTTTCACGACGGCGACGATTATTCGAATGGGGATGATCAGAAATTGCAACACTATGATGATGGTTGCTCCAATGATAATGGATTCCGGTATGAAGGAAAGGATTGGAAGGTAAGCCATTCTCCACTGTACAGTTTCGGTTGAGGTTATCCGATCCAATATCTAACAGGTGATATATATATATATTATTTTTCAACCAATGCCCCGCATTGAATAGGATTGCGATTGGGTGGCCGAGGAACGTTTTTGCGGTCGCCAGCACAATGGAAAGAATATTGGAGAGCACTACTGTCCATTGAGCTGCGGTTATTGCGATGACGATGACTGGCAGGGCGGAGACGATGACAAATGGCATTATGATGACGACAAATGGCATTATGACGATGACATATGGCACCAAGACGATGACAAGTGGCACCAGGACGATGACAAATGGCACGCAAACAACAACCACAACTATGACGATGATAAGGTATATCATCACAATAGCTATGGCTGCAACGATGACCATGATTTCCACTATGAAGGAAAAAATTGGAAGGTAAGTCATTCACAACCACTCTATCAGGGCATTCCATTGAGGCTGCCCGATTCGTTTTCTTATGGCCTGAAAACCTTATTTGCTGCTTTACTTTAAACAGAATTGTTTTTGGATGGCTGAAGAGGGTCTCTGCAATCGTGAATATAATGGAAAGAATGTTGGAAAGCATTATTGTCCTTACAGCTGCGGTCATTGCGATGACGATGACAACCACCACAGTGACAACGAATACTTTTGTTTCAGGTATGACAACGAAGACTTCCGTTATGACGGCAAAGATTGGAAGGTGAGCAATGAAATTGAATTCCTTTAGTCGGAAACGACAATTGTAATTGTGATATTATCGTATTGTAATCGTAATCTTGACAAGGAAAAAGGTAGAAAAAGGTAACTTACCCTTTTCACATTTGATTTCAATTTGTTCCTTTCTCAAAGGATTGCAAATGGGTAGCGAAGGAAAAGCATTGCAACTTGGAGCAAGACGGAAAGAAAATAGGAAAAGAGTACTGTCCTTGGAGTTGCGGCCACTGTGATAATGATAAGCCTCCTACGAGGAGACCTACACGGAGACCCTCTGGGCCCACAAGGAGGCCTACGGGACCCACGAGGAAGCCGACACGGAAGCCCACAAGGCAACCAACTCCACACGATGGATATTGTTATGACGATAAGAATTTTCGCTACAACGGTTATAGCTCGAGGGTAAGCAAGGCAAAAGAATGCATATATATCTAACAGCAAACTTCAAGATTGCCAAAAGAACGGTCTAACCTATTCATCCCGCTACTCGTTGCAATATTCAACAGAACTGTCGCTGGGTTTATGAAAACAATCGTTGCGATCGATTTAAGCATGGTTGGCATGTTGGCGAGCATTATTGCCCGCGTAGCTGTGGATATTGTGACCATGGGCACAAACCTACACGAAGGCCTACACCGAGGCCGACGCGGAGACCGACACGGAGGCCTACACCAAGGCCTAATGCATCGCACTGCCATCATCATGTGGACGTAGAAAAAAAATGCTATGACGACTATGATGTTGACAACCTTAAAGTTTTCTTCAAGAATTGTCATCCGCATGCCACCGATTGGATAGGAATTTATGAGGCCCACCACAATGAAGAACTAGGAAACACTGAGGAATGGTGGGGCAAATCCTTCATGTGGCAGAAGACCTGTGGATCGAAGTATTGTGATTTTAGGAAAGAAGAGGGTACTGTTGAATATGAAACGTGGTGGTCGGATTTAAGAAACGGAGACTACAGAGCATATTTGTTCGAAGAAGATGGCTACCACGTGAAGTCCAAATCCCAGTCTTTCAGAGTCGGCAATTGCGATAGTTGGAACAAGGAGCCTACCAGGAAGCCAACTTCATCTGCTTGTCCTAGACCTAGTTCTGTGAAGGTCGATCGCTATTGCTATAGAGACCGCCAACCCAACACAATCAAAGTTCATTTCGATAATTGTCACCCCGTGAAAAAGGATTGGATTGGAATCTACAAGGCCCACCATCACAGAAACTATGTCAGCACACTATCATGGTGGGGTAACTCGTACATGTGGATGTTCGCATGTGGGTCTAAGAAATGTAATTTCAAGACAGAGGAGGGCACGCTAATTTTCGAAGATTGGTGGTCGAGCTTGGACGATGGTGAATACAAAGCATATTTATTCAGTGATAACGGCTACGATGTAAAGGCCGAGTCTGAATTGTTCAAAGTTGGAAGCTGGTGTTAAAAAGGAAAAGAATGAGTTTGTTGATTCGAACTAGCGTTTGAGTCTCTCGATGGTTGATGAATGTTGTATGATTTTCTGTATAACTTGTTCGATAATTTTATTTATGTTGGAGGTTGGGAGTTCAAGGTCCGAACGCAAAGCCAGTGCTAAATTTTGTATAATAGGAATATTTTGAGATACTGAATATAATGCGGTTATGATCTCTAGCTGGTTCATTACAATACCGTAGTATTTTTGGAACGACATGAAAAACGGATTCTCGGGATAGAGGAATGAAAAAACTACGGAATTGATCGGAAACAGAAAAAACGAAAAAACACCTGATCCGATCCGAAACAGTAAAAACAAAAAAAACGCCTTAAAATTTTTGTACTATCTGACCTGCTTGCTCGCTCTTCGTCAAATTACGTGCATGCGCGCACGTGGTGGACAAAAGTCTCTGCTGACTCTCACAATATCGTTAAATAATTTAAAAAGCAGTTGGTAAGGCAAGAACATTCATCGCCATACCTTCCGTAAGAGTACGTACGTAGTAGTACGGTACGAGACGCAAAAAATATCAGAAACGGAGTACAAGTAGTGAAAATAATCTAGCCATCACAAGGTTGCGGAGGACAGCACACACAACAATTTACCAAACTTCGATTCAAAGAGAAAGAAGTATATTCAAACTGGTGAACGGTCTACATATCAATATCCCAGTGGAGAAGAGGGGGAAACTGCAATGAAGAACCACGGCCGCTATGACCACCGTAACACCCCCCTCAAAAGCGGACCGAGGCAATATTCATTTGCGGGCGCCTTTACTCTAATCGGTCTTGGTATGGTCATGGGCACGATTTTTAATTTTCTGCATACGTCGCGGCTCATTCTGGACAGTTCTATCCGTAGGATTCAATACGAGATGACCCAGCCGACCACGGTTCGATCTCACATGCAAGACTCGTACAAGCACAAGGTGAAAGCAATCACCGACGACGAAGTTTCACGTCTTCGCGGGCCCGATGGACCGAAATACACCGTATTGGTTACCGGCGCCGCGGGCTTCATAGGAATGCACACGGCGATCGAATTAAAACAGATGGGGATGACACCGATTGGATACGACAACGTAAATACCTACTACTCTACCGACCTAAAGGAATCGAGAATAAAGGAATTGAAAAAGAATGGTATTCTCTTTGAAAGGGGAGATGTTTGCGATGCCGACAAGCTTAAACAGGTGATTAAAGGCAACAAAATCACGAGAGTTATTCATTTAGCAGCACAGGCCGGAGTACGGTACAGCTTGGACCATCCTTTCGAATATATCCACAACAATATCGACTGTACCGTGAATATATTGGAGATCATGAAGGAACTTGACTTGAAAGAACACCCATTGGTGTACGCTTCGTCTTCCAGCGTTTACGGCAACAATGTCAAAGTCCCATTTCTAGAGACAGACATAGTGGAGGATCCAGCTTCTCTCTATGCAGCTACGAAACGAAGCGACGAACTTATTGCTAGGACGTATTACAATCTCCACAACATTTCGAGCATCGGTCTACGATTTTTTACTGTCTACGGTCCTTACGGACGACCCGATATGGCACCTTGGATGTTCACAGATAGAATTTCCAACAACGAAACCATTCAAGTTTTTAATAACGGTTTGTCTCGCCGTGACTTTACCTATATCGACGATATTGTTCAGGGAGTTGTGAACTCTCTGTTGGTAGACAGGGCAAAAACATCTCTGGAGGCCGAAATTGTCAACCTTGGCAACGGTCATCCTGTCTTGCTGGCGGATTTCGTGCGGATCGTGGAAGAACGTGTCGGTAAGCCCGCCCAAATACAGCATCTTGGAATGCAAAAGGGGGACGTTCCGAAGACGTTTGCCGATATTTCAAAGGCACGGTATTTGCTTGGATACAAACCTACTACAACTATCGAAGATGGGATTGATAGATTCGTGACATGGTTCGAGCAACACAATGCCTCTCGATATCGGATGACGCAAACGCCACAAAGCAATTCCCCAAAGGAAAACAACACTGAGGCTGTCGGCGACAGCAAGATCGACGCAAAACCTAAGTAAAGGGAAGCTAGCTTAAATGCTACGGCGTCACTTCCCTTCATTGTATAATAGTATCTTGTACGAATAATACAAATAAAGACCATGTGGCATCTATTCTATTTCTGTTTCAGTAGCCGAATCTCGTGATAATATGACATCATCGAGAGCTACTGATTGTAATAATCCCACCAGGTACGTTCCACTTCGGGTATTAGAAACATTTCTTAGAATAGTACTAGCACTAGTACCTGCGTGAGAGAATATGATTGGTACTCGTATTACTTCGGACGCCATGCTTTCATTCTTTATCGTTTGTTACAGTTTTTATCCTTTCTACTGTTCGTACGTACGGTACGTTTCAAAACCATTAGAGTGATTTACGTGATCTATGTGATCTACCGGTACGTGTGTTAGGCTCACAATACCATACCATCAATCAACAAGACGAAATATGTCCCGTACCTACTAGTACCAGGCTGGTACGTACTAGTACGAGTACGAGTACTCGTACGACGGCAAGCGGCAAGAGCAGTCTGAATTTTAGATCGAAGCGAAGCCATCGGCTCTATCCTTGATAGGTACAGTAATAAGAATATGATAAAATGACTACTACGACTCATCCATAAAATAGTCGTTGCCAAAAAACAGTGAACGCGTAAATTTTGACATTGAACGATACTACCGTACCGTACGGTACTCCTTCGTACTCGTACTACCGGTACTAAATTACGAAGCACTTGTAATTTTTTTGAATGACGGACCGCGTGCTCGACGGTAATTGGTGCGTTGAATGATGTACCTAAATCATCAATAGGGTTCATACCGGTACTGATGCAGAGAACGTACCGTACGTACGGGATACTACGGCACTTGCATAGGGGTTACGCTACGATGAGTATCGTACCGTACGGTAGATCTCTTTTCACGAACGAGGCTGGTTGTGTTAATTTTTTCGGTTCGGTTCATCCTTCGAAAGCTGAATCAAAATTATGTCTCCAGCATTTTGACGAGGAAAGTTGACCCATCCAAATCACTAGATTTGCAAGCAAGTCTCGGCACTCGGGTAGAGGACAACACATCACTCAATCAAACGACAAGAAAGGAAACAAACCTAAGCGTTTGGAAACTTACACGAAAAAAGAGCAGAACCGCAGTGAAGCAGACTAGAAAACAAGGATAACAGAAAACCATGTCGGCGCATTACCCAGCCCAGCACTCGTCAGCGCCTCATGGCGCCCCGTCCGGAGGACACCCGCAGGGTGGAGCACCCGTTCCTGACTCTTATTTTACCGAATCGAAGAAGGGAGAAGTGAACGAGCTCCGCAATCTTCTCCGCAACTTCGCGACTGAACGCAATCCAAAGCGCAAGCGCGACATCATCAAAAAGGTCATTGCTTACATGACACTCGGCATAGACGTCTCTAGGCTCTTTACGGAAATGATGCTGGCCATCGAGACGCGCGACCTGGTCATAAAAAAAATGGTGTACCTGTATCTATGCAACTACGCGTATTCCCATCCCGAGCTGGCCCAGATGTGCACCAACACGCTCCAAAAGGACTGCGGCAACGAAGATCCGATGGTACGTGGGTTGGCCTTGCGGAGTTTGTGCTCCCTGAATCTGCCGCAGATGGTGGAGTACATCTCCGAGCCGCTGAGAAAATCATTGCAGGACCACCACGCCTACGTGCGAAAGACGGGGGTCATGGGGATCCTGAAATTGTTTTATCTCGATCAACAGGCCTTTCAGGAATGCAATTTTACCGATATCTTGTACGATATGCTCCGCGACGTCGATCCCACCGTCGTGGCCAATTGCATCCGGGTGCTCAACGAGGTCATGGCAAAAACCGAAAACGGAGGAATGGCCATCAATCGGGCCATCATGCTTCATTTGCTGAACCGCATCCATGAATTTACCGAGTTTGATCTGGTCTGTGTCTTGGAATTGGTACCCCGATACATTCCCGCGAATGCCGAAGAAGGATACCAGATCATGAACCTTCTCGATCCCGTCCTCAAATCATCGAGTAGTGCCACAGTGTTGGCAACGGTTAGAGCTTTTCTCTCCATGGTCGAATCGATCGCGTCTACGCCCGAGGAGATGCAAGAAATCAAACAACAAATCGTAGCCAGAGTCAAGGCACCCCTCGTTACACTGGTGGCGAGTGGATCCAACGAATCTTGTTACGTGCTTCTGAAACAAGTCGAAACTCTCGTAGAACTGTGTCCCGGATCGTTCGACGACGAATATCGCCAGTTCTACACCCGATTTAGCGAACCCACCAACGTCAAGTACCTCAAAGTCCAGATCCTTCCACTCCTAGCTAATCCCGATTCGGCGCCCGACATTGTGGCAGAATTGGCGGAAACGGTGAATGACAACAATAAGCATCTCTCACGACTCGCTATTCAGAGCATGGCCAAGATTGCCTGTCGCAACACCGGGGGACCCGGTGCGGCCGAATCGATTGCCCAACGCATGGTTGACTTTCTCGACTTTAATGTTCAGCACATTCAAAGCGAGGCTGCCACCGGCCTTACTCTCATGGTCCGAAAGCACCCCGATCTCAAACCCGTTTGCTGCCAGAGTCTTGCGCGTAGTCTGCGCTACGTCGAGGAGGGAGAGGGGAAAGCCAGTATCATCTGGTTGCTCGGAGAATGCTGTGATCTTGTTCAGGATGCTCCCTACGCGCTAGAAAAACTCATCGACGACTACGACAATATCAAGGACGTGCGGGTCAAGCAGAGTTTGCTCAACGCCACTATGAAAACATTCTTTGCTCGGTCTCCTGAAACCCAGCGCATGCTGGGTCGCCTTTTGATGAAGGTGACGGACGATGTCAGTTCGCAGGATCTCCACGACCGAGGATTGCTCTACTATAGGCTATTGAGGTCTGGAGCGGATCCAACCACGGTATTGAAACACGTGATTTCAAATTCCAAGTCAGTCATCCCTGCCGATGTCCATTTCACGGAAGACGACGACAAAGAATTGCGCGCCGAGCTCATGACGGAGTTTGACTCACTGGCTACCATTTACGGCAAAGCCTCTGTCAATTTCATCAAACCGGAATACCAAGTTGTTTACAAAAAGATGCCCCCCGAGCATCCACTGGAACTCGGAGCGGGTTCTTCTGCCGGAGCAGCCGCGGCACAGGTGCCAATGGCTCCCCAGGACATGCCGCAGCCCGCGGCCGTCGCTGCCGCTGCTCCTCCTCCAGTCGACGACATGGTTGGAGACCTGCTCGGATTCGACACCCCCGCACCGGCGGCCCCCGCACCCGCGGCGTCGTCGGCCCCCACGCTTTCGCTGGCAATGGACGCCACCATGTCGGGAGAAGTATACCAGGAAAAGTGGGGTGCAATCTGCTCGGACGCCGACGCAGTGGTCGAGATGGTGGGTTTGCCGTCTGTTCCCACCGCCACCAGCACGATCGAATCGGCCCTGGCCGGCATCGGAATCAAGACCATGGCCAGCGGGCAAACGGGTCCCGGCGAGTTCAAGCTGTACCTGTTTGGCATCGACAACGACGGTTCCGTCATTCTGATCCAGGCCAACATTTCCGACTCGGGAGGCGAGGCACTCATGATTCTGACCATCAAGATCGAATCGGCGGCGGCCGCCACCGAGAAGGCGAGCCTGCTGGTTCCGATCATCCAGAATGCCCTGCGATAGAACTCGGTGTGTTGCAAGGGCAAAATATCCACGAATTGGTTTGTCAAAATAAAGAAGCAGTATTATAATAAAAAATTAATTTTGACGGGCCGTTGTCGAAACTCGGGACATCATTGCGGAGTCACTTCTTTTCCGATCAATTGCGCTTGCGTTGGAGGAAAGAAGTAGTATAGCAACGCCTTTCAATTCGTTTTTCCATCCATATCAACCGCTAGCGTGGTATAGCTCATTTTCCTAAATCGGTTGAATGTAGCACAAGCGTCTTTATCATTTTTTGCGGCGGCGAGGCAAACCACGCCACCATTGGATTACACGAATCCAATCTTCAGATCCCTCTTGCCGTCCTTGCAGATCGGTTCCGCGTGCTCCTTCAGTATCGATTTGAGGTACGGGGCGGTATCGTGCAGCGTGTACACCGATTGGTGCTTCGGGTTCAGAAAGGTGTCCAGCCCCAGCAGCTTGGTGTTTTTGAGGGTGAGGGAGCCCCTGTCGATGAGTTCCTTGATGCGGTGGGGGGTCCCGACCGCCAGCGCGAACTCGGTCGTTTCCATTTGCCTGGCCTGCTCGCCAATGGTCCCCTGCTTGGGGAAGAGCTTGGCCACCCGGAGCTTCATCGGGGCCAGGTCCTTGAGGACGGCCACGCTCCGCCGCGCCGAGAGGCAAAAGACGATCGCCCTCGGGCTCTTCTGCTGGGTGTGGTTCTTGAGCTGCTTCTTGGAAACGACGCACAGGAGGCGGTCCATGAAGTTTTTGCTGTGGACGTTGGCCCCCACGTCGTAGCTGTTCTTGCTGCTCAGCCGGGCCACGTGGGAGGGCAGGAAGCCCGCTCCGGAAAACCGCGAGAGGATCTCCGCCTTGGACTCGGGCGATTCCATTCGGATGTCGACGCCCAGGGCCTCCATGGGCCCCCCGCGCTTTTGCTTTTTGGCGTTCCGTGCCGGCTGCCCCTGTTCCTTGTTGCCGCTGCTCGCTGCTTCTCCCCGTCCTCGTTTCTGCTGTTGCTGCTGCTGTTGCTGCCGCCGTCCACCGCCGTCGCTGCTGCCCTCGACGGACGAATCGTCGCCATAGTCTTCTACGCCTCTCGAGGGAGCAACGAGGTATTCGTCATCGCTGCCAAGATCGTCTCCGCCCATGTTCGTTTCCGTTTGTGAGTCGGTGTGGTTGCGTATTGAAAGCCGTGTTGTGTCGCTTAGGATGCCAGGGGAAGGAGCAAAGGATGGTTTGAGAATCGCATCGGGGGCAGACAGAATCGAAAGAATTTCGAGACGAGACCGGGCCAGATGATTGAAGTCGTTTGCCCCATACCGTAGTTCGACGTTTTTTCTGTTTTCATTGGCGTGAGAAAATGGGGGTTCCCGTTGCGGCGATACGCACATGCGGTCAGACATGAATCATACGAATGAATTCCACGGGACTCACGATCGAAACGGACGATGACGATGTTTTTCGTATTTTCCTCCTCGGTTGAAACACGTACGAGGTACGATACCTCGTATCGTACTCCATAGTATGTAATGGCTCTGTAGTACAGAAATTTGTTTTGAAATTGAACGAGAAGGATCTCGTGATCTGCCCTCGTCGCCGCGCCGAAGTTTTTTAGAGAAATCGACAATTTTTTAGAGAAATCGACAACGAGGACAACTCGGGCAACCCACAAACTAAAGTACCCCATGGTTGCAACAAGGACAGAACAACTGCCCTCCCTTCCACGCAACCTCCGACCTATAACATGAACCATCGCTGCTGCCAAGATTCTTCTGCCAGCAGTGGTGCTCTGGCGCACCTGCGTGTGGTCCTCTGCTGTCTCCTCGTTTGCTGGGCCTGTATCGCCGGGAGGGAAGGCGGTGGTCTGGGGGTGTCGGCCTTTGTCCCGGCCAGCTCTTTGTCGGCCGGGTCCTCTCGCCCGCGATCCATTCCCGGGCCAGTGGGAGCCCTTGCCACCGGTGCCACCGCTGCTGCCCGCACGATCGCACCCCGATCGACGACTTCGACGACGATGCTCCGGAGCAAGTCCCCCGCCACGCGGAACGACGACGAGGAGGAGGAAGCGGCGAGGGCCGTGAGGGGGCCCTTTGCCCTCCTGCTGGCCTCCCAGTTCCTGCTCTTCATCGGGGTTGGCGCCGTCATCCCGAGCATCCCGCTGTACGGGAAGGAAATCGGCCTGTCGGGGGCCGCCAACGGCATCGTCGTCTCGGCGCCCGCGGTGGCCCTCTTTCTGGCCGCCAGCTGGAGCGGGAGGAGGGCCGACCTGGCCCGCAAGCCGGCCATGATGGTCGGCATGGCGGTGATTGCGGCCTCGGACCTCGGGACGGCCCTCGCGACCGGCCTGGCCCCGCTGGTGGTGGCGAGGCTGGGCCTGGGTGCCGGCCGGAGCCTGTCGGAGGCCGGGGAGCGGGGGATGCTCGTCGACCTGGCCAACCAGATCCCGGAGCTCCGGGGCAGGGCCCTGGCGGCGCAGCAGGCCGTGGTGGCCCTGGGGATTGCCATCGGGGCTCCCGCGGGGGGCCTCGTCGTCGAGGAGTACGGGCCGCGGGCCGCCTTTCTCTGCGTGACCGCCGCCGCGCTGGTGGCGCTGGTCCTGTACGCCTTTCTGCCGGAAACGGTGGCAGGTGGCAGCGGCAAGGACGACAGCAAGAGCGACAGCAACAAAAGCCCGGAGGATGCTGCCATCGGCATGGACGAAAGCACTCCGGGCCTTGGCGTGTGGGCCGAGCTGCTCAAGCGGAACGACTGGAGGGGACTGGCGGTCTGCCAGTCCGGGGTGAGCTTCGGCTACGCCGCCAAGATCGCCTCCGTCCCCATCCTCGCGGCAAGCGCGCTCCCGGGCGGCGCGCTGGGGGCCGGGGCCCTCCTCTCGGCTGCCGGCCTGAGCGGGCTGGTGGGTGCCCCGATCGGCGGCTACCTCACGGACCGGGTGGGTTCCAGGGGTGCCGCGGTCCTCGGCGGAATCGTCGGCGGGCTCGGCCTGGTCCTGGTGCCCATGGCCCTGAACCTCCCGGCCACGGAGTGGGGCGGAGGCCTCTGCGGCTACATCGACGGCCTCGGGATCGTCCTCGGGGGAACCCCCCTCGACGGAAGGGCCCTGTCCTTCTCGGCGGCGGTCCTCCTGTGGAGCCTGGGGGCGAGTGCCCAGGGCCCGGCACTGGTGGCCCTCGCCCAGGAGCGGTCCGAGAGGGGATTCGAGGCCACCTCGCTGTCGCTGGTCAAGGCCGCGGGGGACGGGACCTACGTCCTGGCGCCCTTTTTGCTGGGGCTGGCCTCGGACGCGGTGTTGGGGGTCCCAGGGATCGAGTGCGCCCTGGCGGGATCGGCGGGTCTGCTGGGGACGGTGGCCCTCGCGGGCCTGGTGGGGGGCGAAAGGGAGGAGGAACGCTGATCGCGGCGACAACGAAAGCCAAAACGAAACGCAACGCAACACAATGCAACGAAACCATACACGCAACGCATGCCGCCGGTGATGACAATTGCGACGACAACGATTACGACGACGACGACGAAACGGAATCCAACCACCATCGAAACCAAGGCCAGAACAGCGGGCACGGGACTCAAAAAGCTACTCCGGATACCGATCACGGCACGACGGAAGGGGAAAAAACACGAAATGACATCGAACCACCCACGAAAGCAAAACACGGAACGAGCGGGCACGGCGCTTCAAAATCCAGCGCGGATTCCAATCGCGGCACGGCGGATGAAAAAAAGACGCAGGCGCGTCGACCCGATCTACGAATCTGTCAAGAATGCGGCAATGCAGCTGCCTCGCGCAGAAACCAAAGCCGGGCCCGAGAACAAGCCATCGGCGAACCGCAAAAATGCTCTTGCACGATATCGCATCGCATCGGATTGCATTGTATCGGATTGCATTGCATCGGATCGCATTGCATGGCATCATTGCGTTTTCCCGCAGGTTGCAAAAGTCGCCCTTCTCCGACCATAACTCCCACCCTTCTCTCCTTTCCTTGCCAGTTTTGCGGTTTTGTTCTTAGCAACAGTACTATAAATTAGGACGACGAACGTTACCGGTTACAATAGAATCCGTACTGCCATAGACATCGTCTCCGTGTGCGTGGGTTGCATTCGACCGTGCTCCCATCCCAACGGAGATTGCGCAGAAAACCAACCACCGACAACACTCTTCCACATTGTTGGTTCGTCATTGGTCGATGCTCTGCGTGTTTCCAGGACGGAGGGAACCTACCGCGTTCGTTTGGTTGAATTGTATTGTCGCTTCGTTTCGGTTCGGTTCGTTGTTCTTTCGTTGTTCTTTCGGCAATCACGGTCGTGACTCCGTCGTTCGCACCCAGCCACCGGAGTGTTGCTGCGGCGAGACCACCGCGAACGGCAAGACGGTGCTTGCCCGGGGGTTTCCGAAACCACGCTAGGGATGCCGCACGGTAGCTACGAAGAACGTACTTCTACTACTGTACCGTTGCCGTGCCGATCCCGTCGCACGAAGACACGACAAGAACGACGTGCCGGAGCCACCCCATCTCACTACGACACACCCCGGTGTAGGTACGAGCACCGTGCTGCCGTTCGTTGCGTAGGGTACCGCATCCATCGTTGCCGCAGCACACAGCAGGCAAAGCACGCAGTATTGTGCCGACTCGTGCTCTCGTCGATGTACAGTATCCACGATCCGCACTCGGCTGATCCTACCGTACGTTTCTGGTTCTTGGTCGAAATCTCGAAGACACTGACGCGCGGTACGGGATTCGTACTCTCTTACTGTACCGTAGTGTGTAATACAGTACCGTTTTTAGTACCGTATCTTTCGCGGACCTCCAGAGAATCACTCGTACGGTTCATTGTTAATTACTGTTAGTACGTACGTTTCCTACTGTCACGAACTGAGGTGACTCCCACGCACGGTGCTACTATTATTATGTCTCTTGAGTGTGATGTACCACCGAAAAGTCTCCTGCCAACCCGACAGGAATTTTCTACCAATTAATAAACTAGTCGTGGAGTAGCTAAGCCACAAAAATCAGTGAACCACGCCCGCCCGGGGATGTGAGTCCCGGTAGAAAAGCTCGCCCGGCGGGAATGAATTGTGTCTCGTTCTCGTGTCCTATGTGGGTTTTTCGGCCGGTCCTATTGCCCTACGGTGCGGTACGAACGCGCTGTACACAACTGGTTCCGAGTGCTTCCGAAAACCACCCCCGTCGCGTTGGGAAAAACCCGGCGCATCCATAAATCTAGGGGGGGGTGGCACCCAACACTTATGGATGCGGAAAATATCGCAACCCCCTCCCCGGCACCAATCCCGGACGATTTCGGTCGGCAGAACGAAGCGCCGGCGGCCGTTTGGGGATTCCGCGGGCGAGACGGACGAGAAGGCACTTCGCGAGTTGCGATGGGACGGGATGCGTGGGCGTTCTCGGTCCTCCCCACCAAAAACGTCCTTCCCCTTCCTTCCTCCCGGAGCGGCCGCTCCCGCGGAAGGCAAAGCCCCCGTGCGGGGTGTACGGGCACAATTCCCGCAGCGAGAGAAGCTCCCCCCTCGGTTCCGGTCGTGGTTGGCGTGACCGGAGGAAAAAGTGTCGTCGAAAAATATCACTGGCGTCCCGCTCGCCCACCCCAACCCGATGGGATTGTGGCGGTGCCCACACGATGCCCCGGATCCCCCCGCTGGTTCCCAAAGAAAAAAGTCGAAGCACCCCCGGAGCAGCACCGAAGCAACCKGGTGGGAACCAAACGAACACACAACCAACAAACAAGCACACACACAACACAACCAAACAAAATACCATCGCTCAGAACAACAACCAAGACACGACGAGCAGAGAGCGTGTAGGCACATTTCACAAACGCAGCAGCATCGATCCGACACTCGTGGGGCGGAGCGGCGACGAGCAAGACCGAGACTACCCGCAACAAATAGTGGAGACGAAACGAAACGAAACGTAAGGAAGAGAGTGAGTGTGTGCGAGCGTGATAGCGTCTTTTTGCCATAAAACGAAAGCGACTGTATTCTCAAACACTTGGCAAAAGGGTTCACAAAAAAGATTCACCACAATCCCAGACTCACCCGAGAGAACCATCTCGTTTCTCGTCACTTCTTTTTTTCTTTTTTCTCGTTTGATCTTTGTTCAGCGCAACGAAGCGCACCAAAGCGAACCGCGGGGCATCCCATTCCATCCACAAAAGGTGACACATTCACACGAATCCTTTTGACAACACCAGCAGCAACAGCAGCACCATGACCATGAAACTCCTGGCCTGGCTGAAACCGGGCGGCAAGGCAGACCGAGGCGAAAAACAAGGCAAGGTCTTTCGGAGAATCCCCCCCAAGCGATCCTCCCTCTCCGCCATCGATCTCGCCCTCGCCGTAGCGGAACACGACGAGAAAAACCACGACGGCGACCACGGCAACAGCAACAGCAAGCACAACGAGAACAACAACAGCAGCAGCAGCAGCAGCAGCAGCAACTCTAGCAACAAAGGCCCTTCCATTCGCGGGGAACAAGCAGCACCAGCCGTACCATCATCCACGGCCACGTCCGCAGCCTCCACCCCGCAAAGGGGCCTCCGCCGGGTCTCTTCGGCGAGGAAGCTGCAGATCCGCTGGCCACCCGTTTCGACGAACGAAAAGGCAAGGGCAACGCCAACGCCAAAGCCCTGCGCCAGCCAGCAATCCTCCCTCGTGCCCACCCTGTCGTCCTTTCTGTCCAAGGCCGGAGAGAGGGACGGGATCGGCGAATCCAAGGACGCGGGAAGGGACCACGAGACCTCCTCTCGGGACTCCACCACGGCGGCGTCCTCGGGCTCCTCGTCGCAGGGATCGGGGCCCGCCTCCTCGCGGTGCCTCTTCGACAAGAGCGGGGCAGACCACCGCCCGATCGGTTCGTGGCAGCACCAGCAAAACCAAAACCGAGAACAGCAGCAAAACCACCAGCAACTACCCCCGTGGCAGAGGGGGAGCAAGACCCTGGTCCGGGAGACGATCGACCTCTACGAGAGCATCAACTCGCTCCGGCGCAACAGCCACAAGACCGCCCCTCCCCGGGGGCACCACAAGACCCGAAGCAGAGACAAGGAACGCCGGGTCAGCTACCGGATCCGCTTCGGGATCGACCGCCCCGGAGATCCTCCGCACACGGGAAAGACACGCGGCCCCCTCTTCTCCCGCCGGTTCCCAGGGACGGAAGCCGAGAACACCGGAGGCACCCATTCCGGGGGAGGGATCCGCGGCTACGGCCGATCCGACGACTGGGTGGGGGGGACCGGCCCGTTCACCCGCCGCGCCACCGGAAGCGGCGACTCCAGCGGAGGCCGGATCGGCTACGGACGACCGGACGTCTGGATCACCCCCCTCCAAGGGGGCGGCTCCGGAAGCCCCCGGACCTGGATCGCCAAGCGGGTCTGGAACGCGCCGGAGAAGGACGACAGCGAGCACGAGTACGAGGTCGACCACTCCTTCCTCCTGGACGGCGTCCGGGACCTCCTGCTGTCCGGGGAGGAGGAGGAGGGCGACCTGCCCCTGGCGGTCGACCGGGTCGTGGACGTCGGCGGACGGTGGCAGCACCAGCACGGAAACGCCGGGGACCCCCACGAAGACGCGGCCGGCTTCTCCTCCCTCGGGGACATCGATTTCGACGCCCCGTTTTTCCGAGAGGCCACCGCCTCCGGTGTCGAGGAGGAGGAGGAGCAAGAAGAAGAGGAAGACGAGGACGAGGACGATGACGATGACGAGGAGAATGACAGCGGGGAGCACACACGCGGGAGGCACCAACACAACCTGAGGGGCTTTGGCAGGCCCGACACCTGGGTTTCTAGAAAGGCCAGCGGCACCGACGAACCCCCAAGAAGCCCCTGGCGGTCCTCGAGAACCTCGGACACCGAGAGCGACGACGACAACGACAATGACAATGACATCGAGGACGAGGACGACTACAACGACAGCGCAGAGCGTGCGAGGGACAAGGCCCACCACAACCTGAGGGGCTACGGAAGGCCCGACGCATGGGTTACCCCAAAGACCAGCGGGATCGACGAATGTCCCCGAAGCCCCTGGAGATCTTCTAGAACCTCCGACACGGATAGCGACAATGAGGACGGCGATGGTGAGGACGAGAACGAGAACGAGAGCCAGAACAGTCGCGGGGAACACACAGAAGGCAGCAAGCACCGCCACAACCTGAGAGGCTTTGGCAGGCCCGACACCTGGGTCACCACAAAGACCAACGGGACCAATGAATCTCCCCGAAGCCCCTGGAGATCTTCTAGAACCTCCGACACGGATAGCGACAATGAGGACGAGAACGAGAACGAGAGCTCGAACAGTCGCGGGGAACACACAGAAGGCAAGCACCGCCACAACCTGAGAGGCTTTGGTAGGCCCGACACATGGGTCACTGCAAAGACCAACGGGACCAATGAGTCGCCTAGGAGCCCCTGGAGATCTTCTAGATCCTCCGACACCGACAGCGATGGTGACGACAATGACAATGACAATGGCATCGACGATCACGACGACAAGACCGAGGACGGCAGCGGGGAACACACAGAAGGCAAGAACCGCCACAACCTGAGAGGCTTTGGCAGGCCCGACACCTGGGTCACTGCCAAGACCAACGGGACCAATGAGTCGCCTAGGAGCCCCTGGAGATCTTCTAGATCCTCCGACACCGTCAGCAATGGTGACGACGATGACAATGACAATGACAATGACAATGGCATCGACGATCACGACGACAAGACCGAGGACGGCAGCGGGGAACACACAGAAGGCAGCAAGCACCGCCACAACCTGAGAGGTTTTGGCAGGCCCGACACATGGGTCACTGCCAAGACCAACGGGACCGATGAGTCGCCTAGGAGCCCGTGGCGGTCTGCCGGAACCTCCGGCACGGAAAAGGATGGCATTGACAACGATGCCGAGAACGAGAGCCAGAACAGCAGCGAGGAACACACAGCAGGCAAGCACCACCACAACCTGAGAGGCTTTGGCAGGCCCGACACCTGGGTTACCACAAAGGGCAACGAAATGGACGAATCCCCCAAAAGCCCCTTGAAATCCCCTAGAACCTCTGAGGATGACAGCGACGAGAACGAGAACAACGAGAACAGCAGCGTGGGGTCTGCAAGGGACACGCCTCGCCACAATCAGAGGGGCTTTGGCAGGCCCGACACCTGGGTCACCGCAAAGAACCACGGGGAAGACGAACCGCCCAGAAGCCCGTGGCGGTCCCCAAGGGACGATGAATCACCTCCGGAAGATGCACCGGGAGGCACGGGCCCGACTCCCTCGGTCCCGGCGGCACCCGCTGTCGCTGTCGCTGCAGCCGCTGCGGACCCTCGTGGCGGGGAAAACGGCAAGGAATCGGCTCGGGGAAACGAACCCGGTCCGAGGAAGACGGGCAGCACCACCACCTCCGAGAGGATCCGCAAGGCAAAGGAAGCGTACGAAAAGGACCGGGCCTCGAGGATCACCGTCCGGACCTACCGGTTCGTCTACGACTCGGGCGAGGAGGATTCCGTCCGGGGAACCCCGACGTGGGAGAAAGAGTCCCTGCCGGTCGCCGAGGCGCCCCCGGAAATCAAGCTTTGGTGGCAGAGCTAGCCCGGCTTGGCTTGGCTTGGCTTGGCTTGTCGAACGTGCCGTACCACGTTGTGCCACGTGTGGGATGCATGAGATGCGTCCATTCATTTCTTAGGATCGTAGGTTTTAGAGGGCAGAATGTCGAGTCGCACTGCGGCGTTTGGGGTATTCCAATGGGAACGGAAGTTGGTTACACGGGATAATGCTGATTAGACGGGATAGTTCTGATTACATGGGAGAGAGCTGTAATGCGTGCAAGAGTAGAATATTTCACATGCATAAATCTAATAATATGTGTCTAATAAAAATTATGAGGGTATATCTCAATGGACTTCGGTTTCGTCCTCTTCTGAATTTTTGGAGTTTTTTTGGGTAAATTAGCAGCTGCACTCGCAAAATCGTCTATCGCTCGCAGCACGGTGGTACCTATTGCAGCGACCGATACTTGGTGAAGCCGGACTGGGATTTGAGAAAGGAATAGATGACGTCCGCATCGTCGGAAGCAGACTCCAGCATAAGGGGAAAGACCTTTGGTATAACGTCCGCATCCCCCAGATACCGGCGGCCCCTGCGATTCAATCGGAGGAGGAAATCCACGTGCGCGAACGACTCCCTCACCGGTGGAGGCGGTGGGGATATTTGGCTAGCTTCCGTCTGGAACAGCCGGACCCGCTTCAGGCGCGTGTTTCTGGCCAGCAAGTCGCAAAAGGGACACCCGGCCTTGTCCGCATCGGCGCCATCTCCGGCATCCCTTCCCTCCCCCGGGCAAATGTCCCTTTCGTCCTCGTCGCGGAGCGGCCCCCGCTCCCCACCAATCTCGTTTCCCACCAGGCTCAGCGACTCGAGGCAGTCGTTGTCGCCGAGGGCATCCGCGAGGGCCGCCATTCCGCTCCCCGAGCACCCGACGCGATCGAGGTCCAGCGCCACCAGCGAGCCGTTGTCGCGGATCGCCTCCGCGAGCAGGCATACCCCCTCGTTCCCGATCGGGTTGCCCTCCAGCGACAGGACCCTCAGGGAGGGGGGCCGTCGCGGAGAGGGCCCCTCGAAGAGATCCCCCGAGAGAAACCCGCATGCCCGCGGGTGTAGGTTGCACTCTACGAGGTGCAGCTCCTCCAGGTTGGGACAGGCTTCCACCAGGCCGGAAAGGCCTTCCACCAGCCGGATCCCGTCGTCGTGGTCCCTGCTGTCGTCGAAGCCACTGGGTGGCACCACGAGGATTTCCCTCAGAAACAATTTCTTCAGCCGGAACAGCTTGCGCAGCGCACCGGACAAAGACTTCCACCCTACCGGCGAAAGTACAAAGGATTCCAGGACCAGTTCCTGGATTGTAGAATCTTTTCCGCCCTGGTACAGAACCAGAGCATCTACAATGTCGAAAATGTTCTCGTCCTCGACGGCCTGCCGACTAAAGGTCTCTCCGTTGATCGAGAATCGTTTCAAATCATGGGTGGAGTACAGGACCTGCTTGTAGTGTCGCATCTTATCGACCGCCATGTATCGTGTCCACACATGTTCGTCTTGCACATCAGAGAGATACATGGCTAGGTAGGATTCCAATTTCTCCTCGTTGCTACTGCAAATGTCCTGAGATCACAGGTTTTGATTTCGACAGCAACCCACGAAACGTTCTCCAGAAAGGAACACATTTCGCACGGCTTCGTAGGTTTTTAAGTTTCCTACCGGTACGGGAACAGCAAATGATTTAGCTGATATTGGTATGTAACGTCACCGTTGCTGTCCCGGAAAGAAAACACTTCCGTTTGTTCGGAAAGAAGAACGATCCAAAATGATTCAAGAAGATCTGGCAAGTTGAGCGACGAGCGAAGCGAATAGCCAATGAGAGACATATAAGCCAAAACACAACATCATCTGTCATCGAAGTCTAGCAAGAATCACGGAAGACGTCAAACTTGTTCTGGGCTCTGGGATTGAACTTTGTATTTTTCTCTCGTACTAATCGTAGTGTAGAACAGCTTTTGGAAGCATCCGTCGATTGCATTCGTAAAGCAGTGATAGTTAAAAAATAAATTCTGTGCTACAGTACCTTACTAATACTACTTACAGTAAAACAGTACGTAGTTGTGCGTACCCGGAAGGTACCTAACAGAATATCAACCAAAAATGCAACCGTGTAGGATGTAGTACATAATATACGTAGGCAAACCAAGCCAGTGCGTGGTGCGTACTGTATCAGGGTGATTGACGAGAAGTACTCACACTGTCACGCACAAGGCAAATTCTATGGAAAAAAWGCAAGTCGGGAGAGTAATTCTCGACAATCACCACGATAACGAAAACACCAACACCGACAACACTGATACCAACACTCCTGTCAGCTACTAATAAGATGGTCCTTTTGTTGAGGGGGATAACAACACAGCACAGTTAACATAGTAGTAGTATACAGCCACTTGTTCTATTAGGGG